CTTAGTTCGCGCGAATCCTGCACGCACACCCGATCGCGGTTAGGTTTCCTCACCTCTTCCAACTCTTCTCCAACCATGGGTGTTCCTGCTTTATTTAGGTGGCTATCTCGAAAATACCCCAAGATCATCACTCCTGTTTATGAAGATCCACCCGAAGAGATAGGTGGTCTTTCTATTCAGATCCTAATCCTAATGGAGAATTGGACAATTTGTACCTCGATATGAATGGTATTGTTCATCCACTTGTTCCCACCCAGGAACACAAACCAGCGCCTGAAACCGAAGACGGAAAATGTTTCTTGATGTCTTCAAGTACACGGATCGTGTTCTCATGATGGCAAGACCTCGGAAAGTGTTGATGATTGCCGTTGATGGTGTCGCACCTCGTGCCAAGATGAACCAGCAACGTTCGAGACGGTTCAGATCGGCTCAGGAAGCCAAGATTGCAGACGAGGAGAAACAGCGTCAAATCAAGGAGCGAGAGCTTCGTGGAGAATCCATAGACGAAGCTATAAAGGGCAAAAGATCGTGGGACTCCAATGCCATTACTCCAGGTACTCCATTTATGGACAAATTGGCCACAGCTTTGAGGTACTGGGTTGCCTACAAGTTGACTTCAGACCCTGGATGGGCCAATGTTCAGGTGATTATCAGCGATGCCACAGTTCCCGGTGAAGGTGAGCATAAAATCATGAACTTTATAAGGCTGCAAAGACTGGATCCAGAATATGATCCCAACACGAAACACTGTATTTATGGGCTCGATGCCGATTTGATTTTCTTGGGCTTGGCGACACATGAACCTCACTTCCGGGTTTTACGTGAAGACGTCTTTGCCAATCAATCCAGGCAATTACGAGTGCTGGACCAGATTCTGATGACCCAAGAGCAGAAGGACTCGCTTGCTGCTCAGGATGCCAGAAAACCATTTTTGTGGCTTCACATTAACGTTTTGCGTGAGTACCTTGAAACCGAGCTTTTTGTGCCTCATCTTCCATTCACCTTCGATGTTGAGCGAGCCATCGACGATTGGATTTTTATGTGTTTCTTTGTTGGAAACGATTTCTTGCCGCATCTTCCAAGTTTAGATGTTCGTGATAATGGTATTGACATTCTTTTGGGGTGCTGGAAACGAGTGGTCCCCAAACTAAAAGGCTATATCACTTGCGATGGAAATCTTAATGTCGAAAGTGTGGAAAAGTTGATGAATGCTCTCACCTACAAAGAAGCAGAAATCTTTCGTAAGAGGCACGAGCAAGAAAAAAGGAGGGAAGAAAACGATAAACGTCGTAAAGTGTTCCAAGAAGAAGACAGAGCGCTTAAAAACCAGTACCTTTCTCAGGTATCGAAGGGCCAAGATAAAGCACCGTTGGTAGCTGACACACAAATGCCGTTGATGACTACCAGCGGAGAGGTGGTGGAAGGATACGCAAAGTTGTCCAATCGTGATATAGTCCACCATCGTGATGTTATAACGAAAGCCAATATGCTGAACGCAGAAGCCGCCGCAGAACTCAAGAAATTGTTGGATGGTGGTATGGACAACTCCACGGATCAACAAGATTCAGAGACCAACGTGCAATCGAATGCCAGCGAGACTCTGGAGCAACCTTCACGCAAGCGTCCTTTAGAAAGCGAGCTTCCCACACCAGATGAGAATGGAGATGCCGTGAGAATGTGGGAGCCTGGTTACCATGATCGCTACTACCAAACCAAATTTCACCTTACAACCCAAGAGGAAATTGATGAAACTCGCCGAGGTCTTGTGCGGAGTTACTTGGAGGGGATTTCATGGGCATTGCTTTACTATTATCAAGGGTGTCCATCGTGGCAGTGGTATTATCCGTACCATTATGCTCCGTTCGCGGCGGACTTTGTGAATGTTTCAGACATTATTGGAGAGGAAGGTATCAAGTTTGATCTAGGGACTCCATTTCGGCCTTATGAGCAATTAATGGCGGTTCTTCCAGCAGCATCGGGACATAATCTTCCCGAAGTTTTTCGTGATTTAATGTCAAATCCTGATAGTCCTATCATAGATTTCTATCCTGAAGAATTTGAAATTGATATGAACGGTAAGAAGATGAGCTGGCAGGGTATAGCGTTACTTCCGTTTATCGAAGAAAAACGATTATTACTGGTGCTTGAGAGCAAATACCCGGAATTGACCGATGACGAAAGGGACCGCAATACGCTCAAATCTGAAGTGCTTGTGATGTCTGCTCAAAACGTGAACTACAATCGGTTCAGTGAAATCTACAAATCCACCGACGAGAAAACCATCACTTTTGGTTGCAGTGCAACCAATTTGGCGGGAACCATCTTTAAAAACGACCACTTTCAACTCGAAGGACTAACCAAATTTCCATTGAGTTATGGAGATATGCCAGATATAGATAACGTGGAATACTTTTTGAGCTCCTACCACATGCCTCCCAAGAAACGGGGCAAATCCATGCTTCTTTGTGGTTACATTTCTCATCAGCCAGTGTTGACTCAAGACGATAAAAATACCATAATCTATGGATCGAGAAACAACGGTGGAGGAGGTCGCTTCCGGAGTCCCAATGATAACCGCGACTACGTCAATTCCGGTCCTATGGGCTCAGAGATTTACAAGGTTTACTCAATGAGAAGAGGAGGGTACAGGGCGTTCATCGAGATGCAGAATCAAGCCCAAAATTATGGCTCACAAGGAGCCAATTATCAAAACGGAAACCAGGGTTATAATCAAGGAAACCAAGGATATAACCAAGGAAATCAAGGTTACAACCAAGGGTACCAAAATCAAGGTTACAATCGAAATCAAGGAAACCAATATAACCAAAATTACACTCAAGGCTACAATCAAGGTTATCAAGAAAATCAAAACTACAATCAAAATTACAACCAAGGAAACCAAGGAAACCAAGGATACAGCCGCTACAACCAAGGAGGTTATAACCAAAATCAGGGATATCAAGGTGCCCGCCGCACCAATCGTGGTGGATTTGGTTCGCAACGGTCGTCTTATCGCCGTTAATTCGCACCGTTTTCAAATTCATTTGTAATATTACAACTGTGTATACTAGTAATTGCAACGATTACCTCCCCATAGACCATTGAGCCATGTACCCCTTGTATAAATATAACGATAAGGTCGTTCTGGCCAAAGATGATTATCTGTTAGTTCGAGATTTAGCTGAATCTTCTGTTCCTCGATTGACTCCTAGTATCATTTCCCACTATAATGAAGGCCATCAGCTCTACATAGTTGACTCTGTGTACTCGGGAACTGGTCGTTCAAACGAGCTGGACGTGTACCAGAAGCTCATAAAGCCACTGTTTTTAGAATTGGGAATTGACCACAAGTACGTTTCTACCTCATCGGCAGACACCATTTCAGAGTTTGCTGGTTCTCTCAATGGGTCCGTTTGCACGGTTTTGTTCATCAGTGGCGATACTTCAGTCAATGAGTTTATCAATTCTCTTCTGGAGACAAAAGAGGGAACTGTTAACGTTGGTATAATTCCTCTGGGAACCGGCAATAGTATTGCACTCTCTCTTGGAATCACCAATGTTTTCGTGGCACTACAAAGGTTTTTCCAAAGCATTGAACTGAAAAAAACCGTCCCTTTCTACACATACGAAGCTTCTTTTCCCCGTGGCTCCTACTTTATTCACCAAAATGTCAAGACCCATACCATCGAGAACCCAGTGCGATTCCTGGTGGTTCTTTCATGGGCATTTCACGCTGCCCTCGTTGCCGATAGCGATACCCCCGAGCTTCGGAAGCACGGGGTAAGCCGTTTTCGCATGGCTGCCGAGAATAATTTGAAACTGAATACTTTTTATAACGGCTCTTATTCCGTTGGAGGGGAAACTTACAATGGTCCTTTTGCTTATTGGCTAGTTACAGCCACGTCAAGGTTCGAGGAAAAGTTTTTGATTCTGCCCAAGGGCAACATTCTTCACCCAGACCTCTACTTGGTTCTGTTTGGAGCTCAAGAAGATAATTCAGGAAAATACATCATGGATGTAATGGAACAGGTTTATCTGGAAGGAAGCCATTTGGCAAACCCTGACGTTGAGTATAAGCAAATTGATTCTACATCACAACTAAAGCTTTCAGTCGACTCTCCGGACCAGCGGTTGTGTCTAGATGGTGCCATTGTAAAGGTTCCAGAACCAGGCTCCATCTCAGTCAAAGTACTGGGTAACGAAATAGGAAAGTGGAAACTCTACATTATCACATAAGAACTAGATATGAACTGACTACTATAGACGAATATATATGATCAGATGATTACAGACAGAACTATTACATATGGCTACTCCATCTTTTTTATGTGTCCCTCTTTTCCTTGGTGCTCTGATTCATGCAGTCCATCGCTCAATATTTCAAAACATCTTCGCTGAGAACAACAGCATGCACTGGTCTATCGAGCCTTTTGAGGAATGCTACAATTCCATTCGAAAGTTTGGTTCTGTGGACCAAAATCTTCTAGAGAACATTAGTGAAGATCTATTGTCTCTTTTGATTCATCCTGGAAGAAACGACAAATCCAAGTCGCAGCTCATCAACGAAAACGAACCTATCACGTTCTCCAATGGTGACCAATATAGACTCAACAGAGAGTTCATTGACGTCTCGGGAGTGCTTGCAGCAGAACTTGACTTGGACGAAATAGCAACTGCCGAACTTCTTTGGTACGCCAACAAATTATCTTTCAACAACGGCACATCTTTCATCGACAGTGGTCGTTACGCATATTTCACAAGAGCTCAGTATATCCTTAATATCCTTGGATACCTCACACTGCAAGAGGAGCTCGGAATGGTTGTCAAAGACTACCAAAAATTTCTTGACAATGTTTTACAAAGTTTCAAAATCATATACTCACACGTGAGTACCCTAAATGAACTTATTGATAAACAAAAGGTTACAGGTGACATTAACAATCTCCAGTTTACTAGTGCCATTGCTTACCTGCGCTCGAACTTGTTCAAATTTCACGAACTACTTGGTGAACTATTGTTTGGACTTTTTTCCAGGTACTTTGCTCACTACAATACTTCTCAACATTTCACAAAAAATATCGACCATATCAAACAAAACGTTGCCGATGAAGACGTTCTCATCTTTCACTACCTCCCTGCTCTTTTCTCCTTTGTGAATCACCTCGACAAAATTAAAGACGTCGACCAACTCCACAGGTCCATCACCTCAAAATTGAATCAAGATTACCTGAAACTTTCCAGTGCCGATGAAGTCCGCATATCCAACTCAAACCTAAAGGGATTCGAAGTCCTTATTTACATGTTCTTCTTCATCTACTTTATTACTTGGTGTAAGTCGCTGGATGAGAGAATACGAAAATTCGATTTCAAAGAAGACTGCCTCAAATACATTGAGATTGTGATAAGCTATGGCGCTGCAGAAAAGCTTCTTTGCTGCACAGCTGATTCTGCTCACCCCAAAACCACAGAACTCATTGAAATGAAAAATTTGTACGATTTTCGTTCATTGTTACAAAAGGTGTTTCCAAGATTCACCTCTGTCAAATTCGCCTATCCCAACCAAGACTTACAGAGCATCGTAAGCGCCAACCCGGAATTGACAAATATCAATGCATTGCTCGTTACCTATTCAGTTTCTGATGAATTTAACGAAAACTTACTAGCACCCTTTTATCACGAATTTTTCAGAGAATTCGTTAATAACGCAGCAATTGTGATGACACTGTTAAGGGACAACGAAGAGGACTTTTTGTTGTCGTCGTTGAATAAACAGCTCTTGGACGATCCCAACGCTGCTTCCAAGAAAGCAAATTCGAACGATTTTGCTGGTGTTGATCTTGATGAAATTGCAGAAGTCGCAGACTTGGAGAGATTGTATTTGGCGTTCAGTTATAGTTATCTCCACCGTCCAGAGCTTTGTGCTATGCTCTGGGTCGATGAGGAACTTTCACCCGACATTGTTGGCTTTATCAACTGGGGACTCAGTTATAATACCTCTCCATTAATTGCTTCGACTTTTTGCTTGTTACTTGGGTCCATTACTTATGCTGGTCCAAGCTCTGCTGTCAAGGTGTGGGACTTGTTGGTCAGCAACAATAATGCCTCCTTGAAGAAGAACGATTACTCGAAAATATCACTTGACTCGATTGTCGACTCTTTGGAATATTATATTGGCGCCTTGTTTGAAAACTTCGAAAACGACTTGAATGAGCAACTAAAGCAGCAACAAAAAAGACAAGACTACATGTTTTCAGCGAACTTTGCATCGGAATCTGACTCTCGCAATATTACAATTGAATTAGCGGAAGACTCCATTGTGTTCATTTCTGGGTTCGTTCAGCTTATCTCGCTGATTGTGAGAAACATCTCATCGTATCCTGCAGCTTCAACGTTGCTGGCCTCAGATTCCTCCAACCTTAAGAACACAATCTTCAACCGCTTTTTACCTCTCATCACCGATTTCCTCAAGTTTGACAACACAATAATGGGAATCAAAAACAGCACAGGCGATAACAAAATTTACGAAGGTAGCATCACAGTCAACACAGAAACGAGGGTAGTGTTGATAAACTTGATGCTAAACTTTTTGGAAGACTTTGTTCATGCGAACGATGACTTGACCTTGCGATACCAAATCTGGAATTTGATTGACAAGTGGTTTTGCCATGCCCTTGCCGAAAAAGAGAATCAATCCAACGGCTTTTTGAATAACAACGTTAAAAGAAGCCGTGTGAAACTTGTCAGAATCGAGGATGGATTTCACATGAACTTATCACATATTTCACAGGTCAACAATTTTGTCGATTTGTTGATTCTGTTACTAAAGCCGTTGCATAACACTCACCAAGCATTCATAACATACAAGCTCTTGTATCCACCCGACCTTGGTGATGGCCACAGACCTCAAGATCATATAGGAATATGGCCATATATGGAGTACCTATTGGTGGAGGTATTCGGAAAGTCAACCCAAGTTGATGAGAAATTTAGGATACTGCTTCAGCTCAAGTTGGTCAAGCTTATGGAGCTGTCTTTGAATGAAATTGACTGGCAGTTCTTGGCTGTCGTTGCTCCAAAGCTCATTCGAAACTACGACATCAGCTCGATCTTCGACACCTCGTATGCGCCATTGGATTTTCAACTCTTTGCGAAACTTCACCATTCGATTGCAATTCTTCATTACACCTATGAAGACAGCGTTACGAGATCTTTGTTCTCTATCGTTGACACTGGTATTGAAGGACTTAATAGCTCTCCAAAATCAGAAACTTTGGTTGAAAACTGTTTGAAAGTTGCAGATAAGATCCTACTGTTGCAGGACTTTTATGTCGGCCAGGCACTCCCGGTATTGAGAGACACAGCAAAACCGCCTACCTCGTCGCATACATCAATGTCTTTAGTCGCAGCTTCTAATAACATCTACGACCGTGTGAGTCTCCCACAAAATTTGGGAAACGGCGTTGTTGACTTTTTCCAGGTCTTTTTGTTCAATTTATCGTCCGTTGCGACATTGGCCTTGTACGTTGGGAGCGACAGTATACCGATTGCCAAAGTTTCTCTTGAGATATTGAAGAAACTTGCCAGTTCTCAATTCTTCGATGGTCAATCAGGTGCCGAAAATCTTACAGACAGCAACCGTCTTTTGACAATTTTCAAATCTGTGGATGAATCTGACAGAATCAAGTTTGGATTCATTCAGCAGCTACAGAAGGATACTGAAAGCATCGAGATTTTGGAACTCAAATTACAAATCTTGAATTTCTTGATTGATAATCTTCAGCTGCACCGAATGTCTGTCTCTCACTTTTTATTGGGATTCAAGTCCCAGGGTGGTATCATACACCTTGATCCATCTGATGAGCACAATACCCTCTTGAAATCGTTGCTTGTGTCTCTCGATACTTTTTTCCGGTCCATGGCTGAGCTAGACTATCAGAACGGAAACAGGCATGTAATTGATGTTGGTTCCACCACTCTTGTTTCCTTGATCATGGATTTGATAGCGAACCTTTGTCGTCATCCTCAGACATCATCAACCACTTTGTCATACATAAAAGGACTGGTTAATGTCGATATTTTCCGAGTCTCTGTGGAAGCTCAACCAGTCGTTGATGTGCGAACCATCTGGTTTGACACGGAGTTTGATGGAGAATTGCACGAAAGGTTGCAGAACAAATTCATACAGAGCAATTTAGCTGTTGGGTCTTTCTTTGCATTTATAAAGCAGAGGAACCTTGTGTTCCAGCTCCTTGCACTTGATATGCTTAATTTTTCAGATAACAGTTCTTTGATGAAGAAGAAAGCGTACAAGCAGTTACTTCTAGCTGGTCAAAACACCTTGAATGGAGCTCCAAAGTTGCTTTCGTTTCTAGACGTACTCAATTACGAATTCAGTGACTTTGGGGACTTGAAAGTGGAGACTTATTCTCAAAAGTACGACTTGAAGTACTTTTTTGAGTTATTGCAAAACAAGCCGTCGGGCTTGGGCCGAGCCGTCGATCTCTCTGTGATTGAGAAAACTTTCATGCTTCTTTGCAGAAACCAGAGCGATAGTATACTATCAGATCTCACGAAAGAGTCGATATCTCAACTGATTATAACTGAAGGAAACTACCTAGCCGATTATATGACCAAATTGGTGTTCTCACAGGAGCTTGAAGACCTCCAGGTTTCGTGCTTACACTCTTGGTCCCAATTAGTTCAAGCGCTTCTTTTGGACGATTCTATGGAATCATCGGAGAGGATCAATTTTATCATGGAAGTGTTCCAGATTATTCTCCCCAAAATCAATGATTCTTATGATACGAGGATAAGGTTTTGTGAAGAGTTGATCTCATTATGTGTTCCTTTGTTTGAAGTTTTCGATACAGATCAATCGAAAAAAGAAGATGTGGAGGAACGTATCCATAAGTCGATTCCTTTGCTCTTGACATGTATCAAAGGAATAACGTCATCCACCTCTACTCCAGAATTGAGGTCTGACCTTTACGTGCTTTCTACCAAGTATCTTCAACAAGTAATGGGGCACGAAACATTGGAGTTGGTGACGAAAAATTTGGTCAAATCCAACGATACGAGATTGCTTGCAACTGTATGTAACGATGCAATTTGTGCTGAAGGGGCGCCAAGAATCACGTCGCTCTTGTTCCTTGAATCGCTTATTCATCTAGCATCCAACTGCAAAGACGATTTTGCCATGGAAACCATCTTGAAGACCAACTCTCTTGTATTGTTGGTACATTCGTTGAAGCGTACCGATGAGGTGATAACAGAGTTTCTGAAGGATGGCTCTCTGAATATGCATATGGGAGTAGAGTCGTTGGTATACGAACTCATTTCATTCAAGACCATGCTTTATGTGTTTTTGCGTATTGCTCAAACGAGAACAGGTGCATCCCAGCTTGTTCAAAATGACATTTTTACCATATTCAAGCTGTTGAAATTCATATCCATCGATCCTGACTTGGGCATGGACCTCAGGCTTAGACCACAAGGCGATGGAAATAAGTTTGAGTTGAATTTTTCACTCGACCATAACTTGACTTTTTCTGGTGATCCCGATGATGGTATTTCATATTTTGAATTTCTCATCCCTGCTTTCCAAGTGATAAATGCTATTTTATTGGCAATGGGTCCATCATATAAGCCCACTGTGATCCAAGCGAAAGATTTGATGCGGCATTTCCGAGTATTAATAGTAGGAGTTTTAAAGAGAGATGTTCTCTTGGCCGAGAAGAAAAAGACAAACTACACTGCAGGGTTGCACCAGTTGATAGAGTTGTTTACATTGTTAGACACTTTGGTGACACAAAGTGAAGAGTGAAATATACGCAGAATAGAGAGTTTAGTAAAAAAAATGCTGAGAGTAAATGGCTGTAGTCAATGAAAGGCTTGGTAATGCCAGTATAATTTTGGGATGTGCTTTTTCCTCCAGCAATGGTTCTGTGGTCTAGTTGGTTATGGCATCTGCTTAACACGCAGAACGTCCCCAGTTCGATCCTGGGCAGAATCATTTTTTTTTTCAAATTTTTTTGCTTCATTGCAAGACAAGTTAAGAAGGAAGAAGCACGCATAAGAGAAACAATGGAGAAGAATTTAAAAAAGATTGTTGCCCCTATATTGTGCCCCTGGTGTCTCTAAGCCACGGATCTATGGAGGACTCTCCGGACGAAATTCCACTTTGGGTAATTCGAGCGGTTGCAAAAAATCACAAAAAACTATAAATTTGCACCAAAATTTTAAAATACAGCTTAACCTAAGATGCCTGAAACCCATATACTCAACCTGATTACGGAACGTGAAGCTGTCGCAGATGCTTTGTATCGTGCTGCCAGTGCATTTGACGACAATGATGTTGGCTTGTTCAACTCGGCAATGTGTGAAGATGTGATTTTTAAAATGAACGAAAATGTTATTACTGGACGGGAAGCCATCAAGACTCAGTTCCTTGACTTTGTGGGACCCAAGGATACCACACATATGATCAGCAATGTGAGAGTTGACTTGAAGCCTGGAGACAAGACGGCCTCTTTAAGCGCATATGCCCAGGCTCAGCATTGCCATCCAGGACAAGGTTGTGATACCAGCAGCCCCAAGTACATGTCTGGATCCCGGTACAATCTCAATCTCGTGAAAGACAAGGAAAATGTTTGGAAAATCAAGGAATGGAATATGAAGATTATCTGGCTTGAAGGTGATGCCTCTGTGTTGCTGAGGGAGTAGGTTAGATGGCCGGGGTTTGGCCTGGTACAAGGTCAGGAACAATGGCTGGTACAAGACCTCTACAAGTGTCGGTATCGTATAAGTTGGTGCAGTGTTGAATTGTGCCAGAAACTCTTCTCAATAAACGATAGAACACAATAGAAATTCAAGTCTCGCAAGGCAGAAATTGTGGTTTTCAGGTATTCTTCAACATTTGTTCTTCACTTGTGCTTTTTTGTGTCTCGTTACCTCAGTACTGAATTCTTGTGTCTTGCTACTTTAGTCACTTATCTCGGCGCATTCGCTCCAAAACTCCGAGTTCACAACTTCGCACCATTTCTTTTTACATTATCCTGGTAGTCGTAAATTGCCATTTACGGCTTGTAAAAGCATAGAGATTTTGTTTGTCAGAGTCAGACCCAGGCTGGAACCGTTATCAGAATTAGGCAACTGATCCCAGCAGCCTAATTTTACCCCAGTACACCACTTCCATTTAGAGATGTACCCCACAAATTTCGAAATCCATTCTAGGTAGTCGACCTGCAAGTATTTCTCTTAGATCGGGTACTTTTTTGTTTTCTGACACTCAAGTATAGAGCCAAAACTACTGAGAGAGGAAAACATTTTATCAGGGTACGAAATGAATATTTAATTTTTCGCTGCAGCGTTTTCGCACTAGTTAAATGAGATTTGATTTTGGAGTCGTTGTAGAGAGATGACGAGACAATCTGGTTTTGCTACTGGTAATAACATGAAAACTTTAAAGTGTTTACAAAGGAGAGAATAAAGAAAGAATGTGAGATCTCGGACCATTTGTTGGTAGTTAATCAATGGCTGCGAAGAACAGTCAAAGTGGAACATCGGATATGCATCAACAGGCAGTCAATTTCAAGTATCATCAACACAGGGTAAAATGAATGTTGGTTGTTATAAGCAAATCATTTTGTTTCCTGAAAGTATCTTTTTCAGTTAAGTAGCTCTGTGCATGAGAACAAATAAATTATTTGCGAACTGAGTCGAGCTCCGCTTTTATAATTGTATATGAACAATTTCCTGAAGGGCAAATCAGCAAACTTGCAAATTGCTAGATAGACAAGTTGAAAAGTTCTCTGCATGTTTGACAGGTGCCGCACGCGCAATCTGGTCTATTTTTGTCAGCCGAAGCGAGCGCACCAACAAAATACCTTTAAGGTCTTGATGACAGACTCTGTAGTTAACCTATTAACTCTTGTAATATGAAACCGTAGATCACGGTAAATAGGCAAATATCGTTCTTCGGTTCAAAGTTAGAAGCTGAGCTTCGACGACTTTTCGTTCATTAAATCAATATCAAACAGGTGCTATATCTTGCTGTTTCTTGTACTAAGGTAGCCCAAGGTATAGAACAACCTCAAACCAAGCCTTTCGTAAATTTCCATGTGATGAAGCTTATACTTAAAATTTCCTTTGCATCCTTACATCACATATACTTGGTGACTATGCACTCAGTAAAGCCAAAAGAGCTCAAACGATACAGAGCCATAAGCCCAGCAATTGCGACTGTTGGAGAACAGAAATCAATCTATTTAACTTGTTTCGTTATAGGGCTAGCGCACTAAACTGAGCTGGAGTTGCAACTGAAATTTGATGCTGCGAATCTCGGCAAATTCCTAGCTCGTAAATTTTCAACAAAAGAAATCTGGCTCTTGTGAAGGAAGTTGGAAACGAATTGACCTCGATTTAAGCGTAGTAAACAGAATGAACAGAATCAATCAGCTGATAGACCCATGCAGATACCATTGCGAAATATTATTACGTGAGCTATTTTTAGGGAGGTGGTGTTATTTAGAGATGTTGGTAAATCTAGAGGTTGATGAATAGAGCGGTTGACCAATGGTCTCGTTGATTCCGTAGTAGAATAAACACTTCTTCGCAAATTTACAGTTACGAGACCATACTACTAAAGTGAAAATTGCCGAACTGAGTTACGGACCAACCTGACTACGAGTCTGCGAAACTTTCGCGTATGGCCGATGTTACATGGACCCCGCAAAATGAAACACATGACCAGATCGTTTCGGTTAACCCCGAAATCGAATGTTCAACTGCACATCCGTCGCGCGAGATTTCACTCATCAGTCATCGCACCGGTGCACCTATTGCACCCGAGACGCACTTTTCCCAATGTGGTGCGACGTGCGTCACGTAATGCAGGTCTTGGCACGGGACTGCGCCGAACACTTCCACCAGTACCGGTACTTTATGGTTGAAAAGAGTAAAAAAATCCAGTTTGGAACAATATGTCTCCAAGGAAAGCATCCAGTATGCCACTAGTGTTTTTTGCGGCTCAAAAGTCTCCATTTTCCCAAAATCTGCCCGTCTTCCCCCCATTACGTCATCGCAGATGGCCGAAAATCGTACATATGCAAGTTGGGGGTTAAAAGGTTTTCATGGTTGCGAGCTAGGTTTATATAGAGGCATCTGAATAGGAAAACATTTCCCGTGTTATCTTGTTCTGATTTTGCGGAGTCATTAAACTTTCAGACTCTGTTTCAAATAATAAGGGGGTTACTATCTACTTATAGCACCCTAGATAAGCTCAGTTGCAAATATTTTTCACCATGAATGCAGAGAAAAAGCCCGATGCTAAAACCCAGTATGACGGGGCTACAGACTCGTCTCATGGTTCCTTGGAGTCTCACATCAGCCGTGACAACTCGACAAACGAGGTTGAGAAAAAATCTGAACATGTTCATCGTGCCTTGTTATCTAGACATGTGCAGTTGATTGCCATAGGTGGTTCCATTGGTACTGGATTGTTTGTCACTATTGGATCAAGCGGATTAGTTAATGCTGGTCCTTTGGGTTTGTTATTGGCATACACCTTCTGGACGTTCATTATCTTGTTACTTACAACCGCAGTTGGTGAAATGGTTTCTTTCTTGCCAGTGAGTTCTCCATTTATTACCATGGCAGGACGCTGTGTAGACGAAGCTTTCGAGTGTGCCGTGGGATGGAACTTCTTTATCATGCAAGCATTATACATTCCTTTCGAAATCACCGCAGTTAATGGAATGGTTCATTTTTGGAGAGACGACTACTCACCTGCTATCACCTTGTGTATCCAAATTTTCATCTATGCCATGATCAATGTCTTTGCCGTGAGATTATACGGTGAGTCTGAGTTCTGGTTATCTATTGGGAAACTCATCTTGTGTATTGGGTTACTTTTCTTCACTCTTATCACCATGTGCGGTGGAAATCCCAAAGGTGATGCATTTGGTTTTAGAAACTGGCATATTCCCGGTGGCCCCATTGGCGAGTACGTTACAACCGGCTCTCTTGGTAAGTTCCAGGGTTTTTTGAAAGGTTTAAACAGTGCTTACTTTACGGTTGTTGGTCCTGAGTACATGTCTATGGTTGCTGGTGAGGCAGCACTTCCTAGAAAAACTATGCCTACAGCCTATAAGACAGTTTTGTACAGATTGGCTTTGTTTTACATTGGTGGTGCTCTTTCTGTGGGTATCTTGATTTCTTATAAAGATCCAAAGTACATCAAATTGACTGCAGACACCTCTAACGCAGCATCTTCTCCATACGTTGTGGCCATGCAAAACTTGAATATTAATGTCCTTCCTGATATCGTCAATGCCGTTGTGTTATCTTCAGCCTTTTCTGCTGGTAATTCTTACACTTACTGTTCATCAAGAGCACTTTATGGTTTAGCCAACAGAGGTTTTGCACCCAAATTTTTTACATGGTGTACCAAGTCTGGAGTGCCAATTTTCTGTGTGGCAGTTTCGATTTGTTTCTCCATGTTGTCATTGATGCAATTGGGAGATTCTGGTTCCAATGTGTTGAACTATATGGTCAGTTTGTGTACTGGTTCGCAACTTTTGAATTATGGGTTTATGTGCATCACCTATATTTGTTTCTACAGAGCGACCAAAGCTCAAGGTCTTGACAGAAAGGCATTCCCTTACACCTCGTGGTTCCAGCCTTATTCCATCTACATTGCTACAGCATTCATTTGGATGTCCATTGGTATTTTGGGTTACACCGTTTTCCTTCCTGGATGGTGGTCCGTGGACAGTTTCTTGTACAACTATGTGATGATCTTTGTTAGTGCTGCCATCTATATTGCGTGGAAAGTGTGGAAAAGACCCAAATTTGTCAAACCAGAAGATGCCGATTTGTTCACTGGCATTGAAGAAATTGAAGAGCATGAATACGAATACTATGCTAAGCTCGAGGGTGGTGAAAATCAAGCACCAGAAAATGCATTCAAGCGGGCTTTACACTGGGTTTTTTAATTAGAGGTATAATAATAAAAGGATTAGTGAAAAGTACTGAACAGTAGACTACATTATTGACAACTAACATAATTTAACATAACCTAACATAACCTAACATAACTACATGACGTAACTAAGTGGATAACCCAACATAACTAAGTGAAGATAGTCACTCTAAACTGGTATCTGTAATTCTAAACTTGGATCGGTATAAATTGAAAACAAATTTCTTTTGACTTCAACTCTTATTTAACTCTGCTTTCTATGCCCAG